TACTTATTATTACTTATAACTTATTAAGAATATAATATCTGACTGCTAGGCCTTGTCCAGATTTTGGCCGATCTCATGATAAAATGTCAATAATCGTTTTAAAACGAATCAAAACGGAACCGCATTTTAGTTAGTTGTCTTGCTTTGGGTTAACGATAAGACTTGTTTATTGGAAGAGCGCCTTCTGCCCACCTGATCTTGAAGTTCGTTTTGATTAAACTCTCAAAAGCGGAACTGTTATGTAAGTGTCTATGTTCCCTTCCTTGTGCTTGTCTAAATATATAGTCCTTTTGTGAGTTTGTTTTGAGTTTTAGCTAACTTTGCATCTTGCCTCTATATGGAATGATTGGAATGTTGGTTCGTATGTTAGTTAGAATTTAGCTTAGCTTCTTCCTTTTAATTTCATATTTCCGTTTACGATAAGTACTTGAATATCTCGACAACGTTAAATAAAACGATTCAAGGCTTGTCCGTAAAATATATCCTCCCTTCATAGTGTGTCTTCATTCAACTGATAGTTGTCGTTGAAAATTTGCTTCGCCTGTATCAGCCGCTACAGACTGCTTCAGGTAAAAATTTGGTTAAGGCCATTACGCAAATTTCTCATTCTCCATAGGTATAAACCTGGGTTGAGAAATGAAGATAAAAATGCAAGTACCATTGACGTTTCTCTGGCAAATATAAGTGTATAATCATCTGTAGAGGTGAAAATGAAGGGAACTGAAATGCATATAATGTAAGGCACATAGCAGATGGAAAATAACAGTAGGATGTAAACCATGGATGTCACAGATTTCTTGTATTTCGCTAAGTCTATTGCAGATTTACCAAAGTTGTGAGATATCCCATTGACCTGTATTTGGTGCTGATGTCGACGAATAATATTGTTAACTTTCAAATTGGCGAACAATGTTAGAAGATAACAAGACAACATCTCCGCTATTACTAAAGCAAAAAAGAAAGATTGTCTTCAAAACTACGAAGGCGAATGACTATGGCTGGAATCGGAAGGAGCAAAATCATGCTAACAATGGTCGTCAAACGTCTTCGATTTGACGTAAGATGAAATCTTCGCGACATGTACAGCCACCATTAAATGGACATCAGTGTTATGTTTAACATCGTGACAGTGACGAAATAAATGGCACTACTCACAAAGATTACAAAAACAATTATCTTTGGAAAATCGTACACCGAGTCAGAGTAAATTGAATATTTCAAAAAAAGCCCAGCATAGAAAGGTTGAACAATGAGACCAGTACGAAAGTCAGTGCACGCTAAATCACTAAGGAGAATATGGAATGATGATCTAGTAAAAGTCCTTCTCCAGATTGTCGCCAAAATCAGGGCATTTCCCACCACCGCCACTGGTGACGAAACAGTGAGGACAATAGATGTAGAGAAAAAGAAAGTATGAATGCTTTCTGTCACGTCATCTCATGTTCGAGGGGAACTAGATGTTTGCTGAAAATGAACAGCTGTGTTGTTGAACATGGCGTGGCTTCTGTTGCGAAGAGAATAGTCCAAGTTAGTTGATTGATGTCGACAAATATGATCTCCAAAACTAAACATTTCTATCCATGATGCCGTTTTCTAATTAGTTCTGCAGCTGATCTCCAAGTTTGGTCAACTGATTTCCTGTTTTTTCAATAAGAGAGGTACAAAAGCTTTTAAAAATGTGTTGGTCTCCATCAAGAAACTATACATCACAGTCAATTAAGTTGAGTTTTTGTCTGTTAACTTGAAATAAAGTAAAAAAAATATATCAGTGTAAAACGAAAGAGAGGTAGTGAGTAAGTGAATTAAAAATAATTTTTTGATTTACAGTTGACTGTTAAAATTGCTTTTAGGACAATGACGATGACGATGGCATAACTGAGAAGAATCTTAAAAAAGTGAATATGTATCTTCATAAGCTATGAATGGAGCAAAGTTTTCTTGCACAAATAAACGATAGGACATCGTTTCTTCACTGTTAAGTTTACCTTCCTGTGGTTACCACTCAGTTTTCTCCACTTGCTGGTCTTGATCTAATTAAATTAAATCAATTCCAATAAAAACCTGAAATTGTGAAATTAATTATTAACTGGAAAAAAACTAGAATTCAATGCAGCAGATAGAAATTAACCGCTGGCCGAAAGATTGCCCAAAATTGACCGTTAGCCAAAAAAGCCATCAGTCCATTGAGATCAGTCCATTGAGAAAAAAAATTCCATTTCGACACGTTCATCGTGGCCAATTTCATCTTTAATTTCAGACGGTTCATGAACAATGCACTTGACTCATAACTGAAGAAAAATGAGATATGTTTACAAACTCTTAACACACACTTTTATTTCAATAATGGATGTCAGGAGTTGATTAAAGAAACACAGGGACCCCCCAGACTCTGAAGGCAATGCTCCAGCTGATAAGAACAATATAAAATACAAACAAAAGCAAATTGAAAAGTAAAATTTATTGCGAAATGTAGAATATTACAGTCATTCACTTTAGCCCTAATGGCTGACACACTAGTGTGACCAGGAGTAATAAACATGGTAGCGACTGACTTAAATCCTGAGAAAAGGAGCGGCTTAATCCAAACTGTTTTTATAGCATCGCTAGCCAAATAGGATTCTAAAGTGACGGTTAATTCTGGGTTTATTCTTTTTTTTCAATTTTTTCCTTCGCAACGTGCATTTTTTGAAAGTGAGTGACAAAAATAATATTTTCAAAAACAACTTTCTTGTGGATTTTCAAGTTCCTTGTTCGATGTTAAAATGAATTAGGAAGATCTTCTATTTAGTTCTATTGGACATTGTTTCCCTTAAAAAAGGTCATAAAATGATATAAATTTAACATTAACTTCAGTCTTAGGGTTTGTTTTGCAAGGTAGTGAAAAAGGTTGGCTTGGCAGCAGAGAGGAAATTAGTTAATTTAACTAACGGCTAAAAAAAAATTAAAACATAAGCCCGACTCTCAATATTCACTCTCGATTTCTATGCGTTGTAGTTTAATAAGGCAAATTTTTCTGAGTGGGTTGGCACTGAATGATTTTCGTACTATTCTGATCGCCCAGCCTTCATATGCTTCGTTTAGTTTTATAATAGACTTAACGGCATTACGAAATGGACCTACTGCTGTTCACTAGAGGTTAGTTACTGGGTTCAACGCAATTTTCTTCGTCACCATCACGTTCCTTACAATAACGTAACACTGATGTTCCATAGAAGGATGGCTGCACATGGCTGGAAAATCTAGTATAACATCTTATCGCAAAAACCTCGCTGTTGTCTCCATATTGCTTCCAAGTCTCTCGATGGTTCTTTCCTTTTTTAACAAAGCTATATTTTATACAGTAATTAACTCAGAGATGTTATCTTGTTATATTTTCACAGCTGTTCTCTCTCTTTTTTTTCTTACCTTTCATTGTGTCCAATGTGGGGGCTCATATTATTATTAAGGTTGACAGGAGAGAAGTGAATACCAGTCGAGACCTATCAAAGTTGATGATATTTTTGTCTTCGTCTCTCAGCCCAGACTTGTACCTTTGGAGAATGAGAGATATCCGCATTGGCTTCAAATAAGTATTCGTTTGCAGAAGACCCTGATACTTTCAACGTTTTTATGGCTAAAATTAGGGCCTCGGATGTTATTCAAGTTATCTGCAGTTAAACATTTCTTCAAAAGTTAAGGTTTGGTTATTGAAGCCCTTAGCGAATCAATATTCACTAACTTAGGTTGCTTCTCATTGCTGCTCCACCTTTCTCGAGAGGTAAAATGTAACATTGTAAATTGTGGTTTTTTAGCGTTGAAATAATAATTCTCAATGGTTGAAATAATCAAATTTATGATTAAATTTTTATCACTTTCCTTACTTTATCATTATGCATGCATTGTCAACTTTCGTCAAGGATCTACTATCAACTTTAAATGTTATTTAGTTCATGTCCTACAAACTGAATAATCGAAAAAAAAAGCAAATAAAAGAACAAACCAGAAAAGGAAACGAAAACTCCAAACAATTGAAGTACATGTGATTTCATTACTTTTAGAGCAATCGGTTAAGCCATAACTTGAGAAAAATATATTTTGAGTAAGATCTGTGTCTGGATTCAGTCTCCAAGATTCCTTGTTGATTCCTTTTAGCTTGTAATTCTATTCATATGAAAATAAAGACAGAAGATTTCTGAGTAAATATATCAAATCATTGGAATAAATATTATTTAAGATCAAAAAATAAATGATAAGGATTACTTTAAAGCAAAGATTACTCTTGTTAGAGTGGTTCATTTTACCATAATGGAACTTTACGTCCATAAGTAATCAACACATCTACACTGAGAAAATATTTTGGAAATCAACGGAAAGATAATTACTACTAGCTTCAAGAACTAATCATCTTTGTATTGTATTGATCTGTTTGGTTTTAAAAAAAAAGGCCATCTGCAAGAGGTCAAGATAAATAGTGGCAGCACAAAGGTAAACAGCACTCTAAGCCTGAGCAGTAGGAATAAACAGTCGTGCTGCATACTTGTAAACAAGTAGAACCGAAGAACTATTGAGCAGACATATACTTAATGGGATAAAAGTAAGTCTTCATTGACACTGCAGTTAGCCACAACAAGTCACCAGGACTGTTGACGCAAGAGGTTCTTTCGCGTGAACTATTTTCGTGCTCTACTTTGGCAAGAATATTGGATCATAACGTTCACCATTGAAGCTTCACGCTCTGAGAATCTGACATTCAAAACAAACTATAAAACTACAATTTCCGTTGGCTTACTTCCTGTTATGCATATCTTTACTTTTGTTGAGGTTTTAATTGCTTTCATAATCAGCAATCCTACTTGCTTGAGAGCAAAAAATAATTGGTTGAATTCATTTAAGTTTGAATTTAATGCCTGAGGAACTCGTGAATGACATTGTTTGTACTCTCAACGTGATGTCCCTGTGTAATCAGTTAAAGTTTTTGTTCGTATACCATTGTCGAGATGGTTTATTAGCGGGACGTTTGATTCAAGAGATGTCTGCATTCAAGTTAATTAATATCCACTGTAAACATTTCCTTGAAAAACCATCAATCGTTTCAAGTGGAGCAGAAAGTCAAACGAAGCGTTTTATATTTGCGCTTTATATCACCTGACAGAACACGATTTGAAAGACCGTTGGACAAATGTTTCAAGCCTTGTAGTCGATCTTCACTGACGCCACAGTCAGCTGTTGCAAGTCGGTTGGGTAGTGAAGATAAAAAGAATTTATTCTTCGTGCGCTGATTATTTTTGGGTGGTAGTTTTAGCAAGAAATGTAAATCGCCATTGTCACGTTCACCAAGGCTGCGTCATGTCCAACACTTCTTGCCATATGTGTACTAATAAAAAGTCAACTTCTCCAAACTCTTCCGACGACTTCAGTGGTCAAAACCTCGACTCCCCGGTTAATGCATTAGTTTTCTCGACAGCAGTGGTCATTGGCCTTTTATCGCCCCTAGCCATTGTGGGAAATGCGTTGATATTGGCCACAATTTGGAGGAGGACCTTTCTAAGAACATCGTTTCATTTTGTTCTTAGCGGATTGGTAGTCACTGACTTTTTAACAGGACTAATTTCCCAGCCTTTCTACGCTTCCTTCCACTTGATAAATACAACAAACTCGGCAGTGATACAGGATAACCCTAAGGTAGTAAATGCCATTGGATTTATCGCTGGACTTAGCACCTTCCTATTTGTCAACGTCACTGTTGCTACCATGACATTATTGTCCGTTGAACGATGGTCGCATATGTCTCGGAGATCTTTTCTAACATCCCAACGCCGATATTTTGCTAGTATAGTAATATTAGTCTTTCCGATGCCTTCACTAGTTGTCTACATTTTAGCTCTCTCGAAACCAGCTTTGTGGTATACTTTATTTCAAATAACAATTACAAATCTTTCGTTCTGCTATCTTATCATATCCCTTGCTTATTTTAAAGTTTATAAAATTGTTCGTCGTCACCAGCTTCAGATTCAAGCCAACGGAATATCTCAGAGCTTTGGTCAACCTGCAATCGACTTAGCGAAGTACAAGAAGTCTGTGGCATCCATGCTTTATATCTTTTTGCTTTTTTCTATTTCTTTCTTACCTTTTGCGGTGTCTAATGCGGTAGTTCTTATAACCACACATGAAGACACATTAATCGCTTTAAAACTGTCCACGGTGTTCGTATATCTGTCTTCGTCACTCAACCCTGTGTTGTACTTTTGGAGAATGAGGGACATTCGCAATGGTTTTAAACAGCTTTTAGCAAGCTTAAGAACCTGATTTTATCACGTATCAAAATATTTCTTGGGTCCAAGTAGAGGTTGTAGAGACACGATTGAACAAAGTAGAAAGCATCCAATAAGCCCTTGCAAAAAAAAATGCATTTAAATTTGCATGGCTATTCCAGCCCACAAGAAATTCAAATTTCAAATACATCTTTTTTTCCAGCTTAAAAGATATCTTCGTTAAGTCCATATTGTGTACTACCGATTCTCAAATAGCAAACAAACTGAAAATTTAATTTGATTTTGTTCTATACAACATTATTTGTGAGGTTTACGCGTATTTCCTAAAAGCTGTATATAACTTTATGAGAGATGGTAAATGATGATATTTGGCTTCAATGTGAGCTATCCGGATAATTCAGGGATATAAACACGGGAAAAAGCGACAAATGTAAGATTAGCTAAATTTATATTACTTTTCTTACAATCTCTTTTCTTATATCCTCGACAGTTATGAGAAAAGAGTAAATTTTGGTGACAATTTAGAATAGGAACTCTATCTCCTGCTTAGTGCATTAGCAGTCACTGACTCGTAGATATGACTTGTATAATTCACGAGCCTTTCTATGCGTCGTTTATTTTGAAATATTAAACAAACGGAACGGTGAACCAAGATACCGGAGTAGTTTGTGTGCATTAGAATAACCTCAGTGTTAAGCTCCCTACTTCTTGTCACCGAGTCCTAATAATGTCTGTTGCAATAAAAGTGTCATTGAGGATGGTTGTATATGTATCGAAGATCCGTGGTATAATTGCATAGCCAATATTTCGCTGTTGGTTCCCTTTTTTGTAGCTGCCCACGCTTTACCGTAAACATATTAAGGACGTTGCTTTAAGCTTTATTTCAAAGTCGGTTATTAATCACAATTTGATCCATAGGTACCATTTTAAAAGCACTACGTGAGCCTGCGAGATTCAATCTTGAATCTAATTTTTCCTTGTAATAACTATGGATTTGAAATGGGTGAATCAACTATACTGAGACTACCATCTTGAAAATCAGACTTTATTCCACTTCTTGAGGGTGTTTTGAGAACCTGAAATAAACCGGTTAAAACTACAATTTCCTTTGGTTTATTTTCTGTTATGCATATCTTTATATTGGCTGAGGGTTTTAATTGCTTTTAGGACTAGCAATCCTACTTACTTTGAAAGCAAAAAAGGAATTGATCAAATCAAACAGAGTCTAAATTGAAAGCCTTATTTCAGA